AAGCTATTTCAGATAGGCTTTCCAAAGAAACACCAAGCTGATCCAATGCTGGAGGAACACTTGCCTACCTTGGGCAATGGGGTATAGTGTGTCTACACTGCGTTTAAAGAAAACTGAAAACTTTCTGACCAGGTACACTTGCTGCCTTAAGTACTGAATTTAGAACATCGTCACCATGACACAGAAAACCACACTGCACAGACATGACAGGAGGCAAAAGACATACGGGATAAATCTGTAAAACATCTTCTCTACATAACACAGTGGTACATTTTAATAAGAAAACACCCTGCAAGTTTAGAACAAGGTCTCTGTGTTTACTATCATTTAAGACAGAGACAAGCAAAACACAGGGTCAAACATTCAGCTCAAGACCTGACGCTTTTCACTAGAATATAAAATATGGAACCAGTGGCTTAAATTGTGTCAGGCCAGGGCAGGCTGTATCTCATTCACATACACCAAAAAGATGTAAGAGCAAAGCCTAAAACCACAGATAAATGCAAAGTAAAAGTTAGCAACTCCAGAGAGTCTTGATAACTGTATCTTTCATAGATGGCCAAAGGATTTATTTAGACGGCAAATGTTGAGCGGGAAAAAAATGCAAACAATTGAAAATTTGAAGTGTTTAGATAAAATAGCATAGAAAACTGAGCAACAGGACAAAATGGCAAAACCCTGAGCTGAGTCAAGTCAGGTCTTCAAAATCCAAACAGATGTGAAGAAAGTTAGCTGATTAAGTGAAAAGATATGTATGATGGTTTTGTCCAATCTATAGTTCGGGCCTACTTGGGGAAGAAATGATGTTTTCCAGTGATTTTTTTTTTACAGTGATAGATTTTTTTTTTTTTTTAAGAAAAACACCTGACATCAACTTGACGTTGAACCTAGGCAATCACTGGGCAGTATTTTAGTTTCTCAATCAATCTAGAGCTGCAAAAGAAATTGAGATGCTAAGTGTGTGCTTCCTGCATGAGCACAAGGCTATTCATTGCCACCACATCTGCCCTTGGATGCTCGCCACCACCGGCATCTTCCTTTACCTCATCAGGACCAGGTTGAAAAGGAATTCAGACCACAGGAGCCAAGGACACGTTCATAAACAAGTGAGAACTAAACAGCTATTCAAGAGTTAGAAGAGTATCCCTGGTTGTCCGAATTTTCCTCTTCCAAATCAAGTAATGGTGGACTGAACTAAAAGTCCTCACAGGCCCCTCTGGAGTATGGTGTAACTTTATACTAATGAAAAGCCATGCTGGAAACAGGATCCGTTCCATAGAGAAAGGTATTCTCAAAGCTGGGGAAGAACTGGAAGACGACTCCAGACCACAGCACTGTTTCCTGCCTTACCCCTTCTTCCATGTAAACATCAGAAATTAAGTAGTTGAATAAGAAGACCATGTAGAGAATTTGGTCCTTTGCTCAAATCTACAAGAGCCTTTGCCATCTCAAAAGGATGAAGTTCTGAGAAGAGGAGAAGAAGGACTCCTGGAATGCCTAAGACATGAATACATGAGAGTCAATGTTTTATAAAGAACATGTCTATGTTTGCAAAGAATTAATGCCAGGGCTTACCTGAGGGACACCTGACTTGGCCAGAGGCAGCTCCTAATAAAGAAAGAAGAACAATGGCTAATACAGCACACCATGACTTATGTCCGTCCCTCTTAAAAGATAAGAGACCCCTACACCCTTAAAGCACAGAAACCAACTCCTTACCAATATTCACTTTAAGAAAGCATCCAAAAAGTATTCTTAGAGCTTGTAACAAAGGGAAACTTTAAAGAACACCCGGCTGACAGCACAGACAGAGGCTATGAATCGGTGTTCAGAAGCCATCAAACTCTGCAGGATGCTCTCTGGCTTACATGGCCTTCAGAGACAATCAGTCCACGGGCCACAGTGAGACCACAAACAGATGTTAACACTGGGGAAGAAGAGCTCCAGCTCCATAGTTCAGCCAGGTTGAGACAGTGGCACTAACTCTGTAGGAAGAGTTGGTCACACTTAAACAAGTGTTTTTCAAAGACTACAGGTGCCTTTCATTTCTATCATCTATCTATCTATCTATCTATCTATCTATCTATCTATCTATCTATCTCTCTATCTCTCTATCTATCTATCTGAGGCATGTGTAGTGTCAAGATATTATAGCAAAATAAAGCCAATGGAGGATGCAGGTACTATTTTCAAAGAGTCGCTTTCAAAAACAAACATGCAAGTGTACCAAGGCATTCTCTTCTGAGTTGGTCCATACCAGGTGGAAGTGGTAATGGCATACTTAGAACAGAAGATGGCAGCCCCTAAAACTCAGGGACACCAGGGGAGATGAGAAGAGACACCTGGGACTATTTCAAAAGCATACAAGAAGTCAGAGATAAAGACTAAGAGGGAGATTTCTAACTTCTTTACTGTAAACTTTCAAAGGACAGCTTGTATTATTCAGATTATAAGACTATCGAACCTACGTATGGATTATTCACACAGAAGAAAACTGCGAGAGACAAAGATTTTAAAAGAAATTCCTACCACCCCATCCACCCTATACACGTCATTATCAAAAATGCTGAGAGTGATAAATGCATCTGTTTGCTTTGTTTAAAAGATTTTTTCATAATACAAAGCTCACCCAGAGTAAGACTGTATTTAGCCTAAGGATATTATTTACGTGTGTGTGTGTGTGTGTGTGTGTGTGTGTGTGTGTGTGTAACACCCAAGTCCCAAGTACTGGGATTATAGATAGAAGCCTGGGATTACAACTGGGATGGATATTTAATAAGGATCTTTTTTATCGTATCATGGACATCTTGATCAAAGAAAACTAAAAGTGTAATGAGGGAGAAATGAAGCCTCACTGCCTACTTTTCAATTACATCTAAGTCCACCTATACTGCCTCTGTGCAGATCCTTTAGGTTTTCAGATGCCCTGAGCACCTCATGTAATCAAAATACAGAGGGAAGGACATACGAACAGTGACTGGCCATGTGCATCTGCAACTGGGCCTTCAGTCTATAAAAGAGTGAGGGAGAGTGAGGGGAAATGAACGGACATGTGAACACCATGTCAAACAGCTTTGCTTATCACACTGTAATTGTAACAAGGGAAGAAAAGACTTGATACCTTTTTCGCCAAAACAGCAAGTGGTTTATTCCCTGCTAAGTCAGAGAACCAACTATGAATTGCACTCTGAGATCGAGCAGTAACCAGCCAGTAATTATCTTTAGCATTAATTTGGGGTTTCTTCTTTCCGGTGTCCTGGAAAGTATTAAGCTTTAGTTTCTCAGCCAATATGCTGCTGAAGTACGCGCCGATCTACAGGAAGAAACGGAGACAAGACAGTATTTAAAGACAGGGTGCAACTCTCTTAATATCGCACATTTTATCTTCATTGTTTCAACTAGAATCTTTACACAGTCCATCAGAGAACAAAATGGAAACTTAAAATTTTTGAAGGCCAAAACCATGATTTCCATATAGTAAGTCCTGAAGCCCAATGGTGTGATTTCTGTCCGGTAACACAATGCAAAACTTAGGCAGCAGGTGTGTCCCACTGACCCCCAAACAGCTGGGAAACGAGAATCAAGGTGAGCATTCCCTTCCTTGTTTCATCTTAATTAATAGCACGTGCAAATTCTAGAAAGGAGCTCCGATGTTAACGCTGGATGTTGCTTTCTTACAGAACCTAGAGACATTTATTTAAAAGGAAAATTGCAGAAGGTAGAGCTAAATTAGGTGGCTCAGCATTTTGACTGCACTGCCGATTTTATAAACACGAGAAGACAAGGAAGGGGGGGCGGTCACTAACGCGGAATAGGACAGGGCAGAGAAGCCGGCTTCCGCCAGTTATTTTACCATTTCGTGTTACCTGTAGTAGAGGATGGGCAAAGAGCAGTAGGGTGGGGAGAGGAGCAAGGAGCCAAAGGGGAGATGGCCAAGGGCAGGACAGGAGCAAGAGAAGAGATTCGGTAAAACTGCAGGAAACCTGCCGAGAGTTTTCAAGAATCCAGAAAGCAGCACATTTGTTTCCTGAGGATCTTTCAATCATATGATGCAAACAATTTCTAAAAAGAGCCTTAGCCAGCAGTGGCAACCAAAGTGAGGTAAGAGCACTACTCTGGAAAAAAATCCAAAAGTAAGTGTCCCACCGCAGTTAAAAGTTGGAGGCAAGTCCCCTGCATCGTCTGACCCAGTTTGACTGGGGCCATTCATCAGGTTTATCGTCAAGACAAAACATTGGTACAAATTTTTGTTTAATATGAATAGAAATTCCCTGAACCGGAAAGTGCTAATAAAAATTGTGGTGGTTTGAAAAAGAATACCTCCAGAGATTCATATATTTGAATGCTTGGTCATCATGAAGCCGCACTATTTTAAAGGATTGGGATTAGGAGGTGTGGCCTTGCTGGAGGAAGTCTGTCACTGAAGGTGGGCTTTGAATCTCTCTCTCTCTCTCTCTCTCTCTCTCTCTCTCTCTCTCTCTCTCTCTCTCTTTCTCTGGTGATGGAGCTCAGTTACCTCTCAGTGTTTGCCTGCATACCACCATGCTCCCTGCCATGATGAAAAGGGACTTCACCTCTGAACTGTAAGCTGCTCCAATTAAATGCTTTCTTTTGTACTGGCTACCTTACTCCTGGTGTCTCTTCACAGGAATAGCATCGTGACTAGCAAATACTAGAGTAAGCAGATACACAGATACGGGATTTAGGTTTTCAAACCAATTCACTGAAGTTTTTCTGTTTAAAGCAAATGTTTCTAGAACTTTCTGTGGATAAACTAAGAAGAAGCAGGACCAGTTGGCTGTAAAGCAGTCACTAGTGACAAACTGTTAGGATTTTAAATTTCCCAACTGATTTTGATCTTTCTACCAAAACACAACTAAGAGTATATACTACTGCATAGTAAAGAGACCTCTAAGTTCCACTATGTCTAGGTATGTTAATCATAATGAACAAGGGTGTAAAAATGAAAAGACAAAATTACTCTAAGGAGTCAATATACCCTCATAATAATGGGGAAAAAACTGAATATAAGTGTTTTATAATTCTCCTCAGTGAATCTTGTAAACAAATTCATACTGTAAGCAAAGTCAAAATTCCTAAGTAAATAAGACAGGAGAAATGCACATTAGGGCTCCAAAAAAATGTGAAAACAATGTCACGTTAATAAATGTTTCAAGACTGGTCTCGTGCTGGCCTGGAGCACTGCCTCCATGCCCTTCCTGCCACTGGGATTACAGGTTTGCCAGCAACCAGCTCGAGTATTTAGTTTTAAGAACAATATATTTATATTATTCAAAAATCGGAAGATACGTATTTTTAAAGCCCCATCCTCTAAACCTCATTCCTACCTCCAAGTCATCAACTTGATTAGCTGGTTGTGTAGCCCTCTCCTCTGTTACATGAACAGACACAAGCAAACACAGACTTGTGTTTTCCTGTCTGGCATACCGTGCTCACTATGCACAGTCAGAATGAGTCTACCTACATGTGGAATTCATTTACTTGTTTAGCGGACACATTCGCAGTCTGCGTGGGTATGCTGTCCTTTATTTAATCAAGAGCGGGTATTAACGGGCACCTGGAGCAGCGATTACAAACTTCAGTGTTAAGAATCCTGCTAAAGTGAACACCTTTCCCATTTGTTACAGGCAGGTATAGGGCAATTTCGATAATTTGGATGGCATGATTCTACAGTTTTAATTATACTATCATATCACCCTTCAAAAGGTCTAATGCCAATTTATATTCTTTCAAAGAAAGCGTTAAGAAGGTTAACTCAACACTTGTTTTTATCTGCCAAGAAGTATTCAGATAATAGCTCCTTTGATAAGACCACGGGAAAGGTCAAGTGTTAAGCACTAAGATACATGCAGTTCATGCTAATGAAATCAAGTTCACATAAGAAATATTATGTCTTTGGAGAGATCTCACAGAAAAAGAGGCCCAAATTGTGGTAAGTGTTAATTTTGTTAACTTGGTTACTTAAATTAACATAAAAATTGACACTAGAAACCAAGAATTGAGCAGCTCGTTAACACATTAAAAACTCCTACTCTCTGATATGAACTAAACTCTGAAATGCTCAAAATCCACACGCTGAAACCCAAGCCCCTAACGTTACTACGACTGACAACAGCCTTTTATTTTATCGTTTTGATTTTATCCTTATTTGAATGTATAAGAGAAAAAGAGAGGGGGAGGGGCTTCAGGCACATCCATGCCAGAGCACGTGGATGTCAGGGGACAAAGTCCTGGAGACAGATCTCTCCTTTCTGTCTGAGGCAAGGCCTCAGTTTTTATAAAGACGAAGCTTGTAAGGATGTGCGAACAACGTGTGCAGGAAGCAGGCGGTACTTTCCACCTCCCAGATGTTTGTGTGGAGACTGAAACTGTCCGACTAGAGAGAGCTACTGCCCAGACTGGCCAGCCCGTCCCCCTTGTGCTGAATTTCCAGGTTGCCAGAGGAGCCCTCCATCAGAGCCGGCACAGCTCACCTCATCCCGGCTTCTCTGTATGTCATTTCTTCACTGTACGCTGCTGCTTCTTTCCCGAGTTGCCCCATTCAGATGTCCTGCTGGACCAAGCCAGGTGGGACATACATGGCAGCAGATCACTTAAGAAAGATGAAAATGTTCTGGGGACAGGCAGTAGGGTGATGGTTATATAGCAGTGTGAATGTGTGTACTACCCAAGATCTACACGCTAAAACAGGGTGAAGTGGCAAACATTAAGTGTGCTGAGGTGTGTGTGTGTGTGTATTAATCACAACTACAAAATCATAGCTGTAACAAGAAGTGTATAAAGTTCGCAAAAGACAAACTTTAAAATGTCACTGTGTCCGGTCAATGGAACTACACACAAAACTGCCTGTTTTCTTTCACACCTTTGCAATGGCATTTAAACTGATGAGTTAGCAGCCAATTATTTCTGTGGTTTTGTGAGCCAAGAGAAGTATAGCTATTGACTTGTGCTTTTTATTTCTTTCTTGTATATATGATGTTTTTTACTTCATGAGAGTAAAAATATTTTAATATCAAAGAATAATCATGTAAGAAGAATTTAAAAATCAATCACTAAAAGAAAATGAGCAAAAAAATACTCCTATCTAAATATCAGATTGATCCATGGTAAAAGATATTTAATTCAAGAAACTTCTGAACATAATATTCTAACTATAATTTTTTTACATTTTTAATTAAAATTTAACTTACCACTTTCCCCTTTCTTCCCCTCCTCCTAGCCCCTTTCTCTACAACTCTGACTATACATTTTTTTATGAAAGTTGGTCTAAGGACAAAGGTATTGGAGAAAAAGTGTAAATATTTTACAGAACTTAGGCTGTTGTGATGACACCAAGCAAGTCTACTCAGAATCATTGTGCGTGCTGTGACGCAGAGCAGACTCTGCTGGCACCAAGAGGAACAAGGCTCACTTCAGGAAAAGGAAGACACAAAGACCAAACAGGAAGAGGAAAGGAAATACCCTGTGAAGTTCAGTTGGAAACGGGTAGTTCTCCAACCGGTAGGTGGAGAGAACAGGCGAGTTAGACAGAAGAGTGTTCGTCCTCTCTGTCCACTGAAAGGGCCTGGAACTAGCAACGCTCTAGAATGGCTGAGCATGCCAAGCAAGCAAACACAGACAGAACAAGACGAACCTGGGAGATGTTGCAGAACAGTAAGAATGGTGGGGATGCTTATCCAGGGTTTAAAGGGCCCCTACTTAACAAAAATGGAAAATGTGGGCATCTGAAAAAAAAAATGAATGTAATAAAGCATAACCCTTTGTGTGAAATTTATAGAAGTCTAGGCATTTATATGATTTCAAAACAGCATTACAAGGGGATTCTGGTACAGCTCAATGGTAGGACATATATATGCACAGGATCTACACGTCCTGAGTCCAGTAAAACAAAATAATAATAACTAGAGACCATCAAGAAACAGAAATAGTAGGAAGGCACTGGGAATCTCAGTGACTGAACAATTGAACTTAGTATAATTAACAACTGGGCGATGGCACTGTGCTCTTCCTGACTGCAGCAGCCCTGAATATAGTCTTAGCAGAAGCAGATCTAGACACCAGCAGCTGTGTAAAACTGGCCCAGGCTCTGCTAGAGGGACAGCCAAGAAAGTCATAAAACTAAGTAGAAGGTGGAAAAGGACACGGTGGTCTCGGAATGAAATGCCTGACAACCAACACTACGTGTGCTTCCTGGTTTTCAAACAGGAGGAATCCTGGAACGCGGAATGGGGCGTACGTAGCACATAGATACCTCAAGGGTAGAACAAACACCCCTTTCCAGGAGTTACGGGAAACAATCAGCATTACCTTTGAGGGGTTGATTACAATGTTTCTCGCAGAGCCATGTTCATCTCCAGTGAAGGCTGGCTGATTGTTGAAACCCTGTTTTACGTTCACAGCCGTAAGTTCATCCTGTCCAAGAGAACACACTGATTAAGGAGAGAACAGAAACGCTTCGAATCAATCCAGACGCTGCAGCCTGAGCAACAGCTAACCAAGTTCACTGCTGTCTTGAAGAGAAAGACGTTGAGAGGACAATAACCAAGAGAGCAGACACCAAAACCAAAGCACACTTGAGTAGGGAAGGACCGAGGGCAGGCTGTAAATGCTAACACTCATTCCAGGTGGAGGGGGCATAGAGGTCCTCTGGACTGCTTACTTAGCGTACGGGAGCACGTAGTCAATCTTGACTGCCAGCGTGGCAGGATTAAAGTCAAGGTGAAAACACATCTCTGGGTATGCATAGGAAAGAGTCCTTAGGAAAGTTAAACTGAGCAGGAGGACTCAACCTGACTATGGTGACACCATCCCGGGAGCTGGGGTCCTGGACTCAAGAGAAAGGAAAGATCAGGATGAGAGCGGCTCTCATTTCTGCTTCCTGACAGGGGGTCCTGTATACATAACCACCTTAAGCTCCTGCAGCAGTGAGTTCCCTGTCGTGACGGACAGTAATTGCCTCAACCTTAAGCCAAATCCTCCCTGCCCCTACATTACCTATTGTAGGGTATTTGCTCATAGCAGGAGAAAAGTAACTATTACAAATTTTACATCCTACTATTTTACATGTTCCGTGAGTGCCATTAACTCTGAACTTATAAACTGGAAAAAGAAAAAAGCGAATATCTCCTTCCCATACGCATGGAAACAAGAGACTGTAGAACTTTTTAAGTTTCTGTGGGAATTGTTTTGTTCTTCTAGATATGAGTCCTGGAGATTGAGCTGCCTACTCGGAAGGCTTGACATTGAGACTTTTTTCCAGGTGGGCCATCTCACAACCCAAGACCAGAAAATGTTTTCACTGGAATTGTTCTGAGAAGCTCACAGTTTGACTCTCTTTCCTTGGTGCCCTGTCTTTCCTAATACTGCATTTAATATCGTCTTTTTAACTTGCATGTGCATGGGTGTTTTGTCTGCATGAGTGTATGCACCACATGCATACAGTGTCTGTGGAGGCCAGAAGGCATCAAAACTGGAGTTACAGATGGTTGTGAGTTAACCTGGGTCCTCCGGGAGAACAGCCAATGCTCTTACCTGCTAAGCAATCTCCCTAGCTCCCAGCCCTATTTTAGATTCAACAAAGCTCTCCCATCCAACTTATGAAAGACCCCAGCATAGTGAGTGAAAGACAGAAATGAAATATTTATAGTAATAAGTTTGTGGTAGCAAGTATGGCCCCCTACAACCTATAACTGCGGGCGGAGGGGATCACTGGTTTTACACATCCTAGTTCACTTAATCCTTACCAACATAGGTGTATATGGTCAAATGCGTTTCACAGGTAAGAAAAGTGACATACATTATACTAGTGCACCATCTGGGCAAGCCAGCGATGAAATATTATCCTTGATCCTAGACTACAAAGAGATATTTCCATGACACAAAGAACAAATGCCACATGAAAATGAGATCTAAAAATACAAAGGCTACTCCTACGACCCTTAAAATGACCTCCTGAAAAGATGTGGGAAAATGTTCCCAAGGTTAAACACATCATAAAAATAGCCTGGAATGATAATAACCTTGATAATTATTATATTAAATAATTATTGTGTATAATATGTAGTAAAGATAATAATTTTACATGTGACATAATAAATATTATTAATTATTACTGTTTCGTTTTTGTTTTTCAAGACAGGGTTTCTCTGTGTAACACTGGCTCTCCTGAAACTCACTTTGTAGACAAGGATGGACTTGAACTCAGAGATCTGCCTGCCTCTGCCACCGAGTGCTAGATTAAAGGTGTGCGCTACCAAGCCTAACAGCCTGGAATTTTAGAAATTTAAACAACAACAAAGAAGCAGAACCTCCTTGCCCTGCCCAAATTATCAATGAGTTCTAGAATAATCAGAGCTTGAGAATACATGCTGGCAAAAGATGCTATAGGAAATGAAGCAAGCGACAGCCTCAGTGAACTGAGCTGATGGTCACCACAGCACAGAAGGCAGAATGACAGGCACCAGTTGCAACTGTGAGTCAGAAAAACAGTCCAGGGCACTGTGATTAGTCAAAAATGGCTGTTTTGGCTGAGACCCCCAGTCTGCTGGAACATGCCATGCAAACTGCACCGTCTCTGCATGCATGTATGAGCATCTTGGCAGGCCGCCGCTTTGGTCGGTTTCAAAGGGCCCCAGTACAGGGAGAAAAGCCCTATGGGAATCAAGTCTCCTCCCAGCTGAGGCAGCCACTCAAATGATGATCCACACAGAAGACAGATTCCATAACCATATCCAAAGACACCTCAAACCGGTCACCCATTTTTAGAGTATGCAAAATCTTAAGACAAAACTATATAATTTACATTTTAAGTCAGGAAGCTTTTGATCAAACTTAAGAAATAGCTAATAAAAAAAAAATGCCTCTAGTCTTAGCATCTAAAACAGCAGGGATACAAATGAGGTCATGAGAGAGTATCCTAAGAAGACTGGGTATATGTAGATTTGGCTGTGGTTGCCACTAGAGCATTAGGGGACACCGGGTGTCAACCACATTCTTTACTCACAAGGGCTGTGATTTACTCACGGAGAAATGCTAGGCTTTTGAGACCGGCTAGTTCTGCAGTCAGCTCTACTTTCTACTCTCAGCTAACACCACTCACTCAGCCCCTGCTCCCTTTCGGTCTTAACCACCTCAAATGGGGTTCTACAAAAACAAGTAAAAACCAAGTGCATGGCAAGCCAAATTTGCATGGGTGACCTATTTTCTGAAGTACCTGAAATGAACAAACACTAATAGCAAATATCCAAATGAGTTAAGAATAAGACACACTCTAGTGTTTGCTATCATTGACAACACTTCTCAAACTCCAATGCTGCACCAATTGCCTCCTCTTGAAGACAAATCATGGTATCTGCAGGCTATGATGGTGGCAGCATCAGACAGTTCTAAGTGATTTGGACAAAAGGTGATGTGTGTTACATGCATTCACGCAAGAAGCTTCTGTGATGCTCTGCTAGCTTTGCCAAGATCCATTAGGTGTAATTAGAAAAGAAAGAGTCCAAAGCTTAAAACAGAACGCTTCTAAACTGCCAAGCCAAAGCTATCTGTAAGGGACACAAATAGCTACTACCTCCCTATGAGCTTTGAATCTCTTTTAAGACTTTCCTAAACAGGAGAGTAACAACCATCAACCGTTAACGATGACGGTACTTGCAAAGACAGGGACAGAGCACAGCCATTGCCTTGTAGTCCAAGACAGCATCACACCACACCACGCTGCTCAAATGGAATTTCTAGTGGTAGGTGACAAAGGTAACGAAGTTGTTCTAAAAGTAGTTAAACCACAGCTAAAGGAGGAATTCTATACTCCCTCCAACTGACTCCAACTAAAACACAGCACAGTGACACTTGTTGCTATCCCAGCTCTTCAGAGGCAATGGCAAGAACACATATGTCCCAGCCAGAGCTACATGGCGATAACCTTGTGTCAAAAAAGAAAATGCAGAGGCAGGAGGATCTTTGTGAGTTCGAGGCAAGCCTGGTCTAGTTCCAGGACAGGAACCAAAAACAGCTATGGAGAAACCCTGTCTCGAAAATAAAAAAATAAAATAAAAAAGAAAAAAAGAAAAGAAAAGAAAATACACTCCTTAAGGTAAATTTAGGAAGAGAAAAAAAAAGCCAGTATTTACATTTTTCTCTTCATTTTCAGATCCTAAACAGAAAAATCAGACATTTGGGACTACAGGCAAATTCCTAATGTGACCACTAGTCTCACATGCAAACGATGAGGTTGCTATTTCTCTGGATCACTTTCAAAGCAATCTTTTAATTCCAAAAAAATACTTCAAGGCTAAAGAGATGGTTTAAGTCAGCAGAGGCACTTAGGTGCAGACCTAACTGCCTGAGTCTGATCCCCAGGACCCACATGGCAGCAGAACCCACAGAACCAACTCCCAAGAGCCATCCTTCTGATTCCACATGTGTGGCACAGGGCAAGGATCATACACACATACACACACACACACACACACACACACACACACACATCTTTTTTTTTAAGTAAAAAGATCTCTTTAAAGAAGTGAACACGTGTTTATGCCAGTCTAGAAACCACTTAAGCTCCTTCTCACTCAAGAAATGAAACCAAAAAGGCCAGCGTAGCACAAATTCCACAAGCCATGTAAAAGGCAGATTAATAAATGGCACACAAACACATGTGCACATACACATATGCACTTGCGCCATTTTCCACCCTCACCATCCAACACAGGGTCATGCAGACACTCCCAACCGTCTTGGTCACCTCTAACAAACGCAGGACCACTCAAGGAACCAGACCGAAATCTCCACCAGAGATGAAGACAACGAAGCAGAAAACCAGCCCCTCAGCTGCTACCCAGGAAGACTGGTTAGCCCATCTCACACGGACACATGCTCTAGAAACAGCTTTATAATTACTTTTTGTGACCTGTACCTCTCTCCCTCAAAAGAGCATCTTCTCAGACTCCTAAGGGTATATCTCCTGAGCCCTGGTGGAAAACTGCTAACATCCATGATTTGCATGATATAACGTTCATGATAATCCCCGTCACAGACAGTAAAGCCATTGGGCAATGCACAAGGCTAAGAGGAAGAATCTTCCACTCCCATATGTCATCACTAACCGTAACACTTCTCACCATACAAACCTTACACTCCTTCCTTTGAAGTTTTCTAAGTGCCCCTCTCATCGAATGCCTGTCCTCACCTTTCTTCTCCTAGCTCCACTGTGTCTTCCTGAAATAGCGTCCTGACCCGCATGGCCTGATCCAAAAACTGTCGAGGGCCTTCCCTGTCTCTGCCCTCTGAAGAAGCTAAAGAAAGATCTAGCATAACTCTCCACGGGTCAGCGCTAACGTGGGAGGCCTTTTCCCCTACCAGACTCTGGCCACAAATCAAAGCATTTCCCTATGACTGAAGATGCAGAGTCTCGA